ATTGCTTTGTCTTATTGCAGATGACCCTTCACCAAGATAACTGTCCAAGATCCATGGTTGCCCAAGAACAGGAGGTCCATCTGAAAGATCAGAAGAGCAGAATTAAAAACTAGAGAGAGGCTGGAGCCCTAAGAGTCATCTATCCCTTCTAGCTCATTTGTATGACACATTATCCTCCAAACATTTCTTTCCCCAAATTTTATCACTTGTTCTGAAAGACCAGCTCCTTAGCCCTTGTCTTGGTTTGTTTATCTGAAATCCACATGGTCACATCACAGTGTCCTCTTGTTCAGTCTCCTTTGCCTTCCTTGGGTTTTTACCACTGACTTGTTATATTTACTTTACAGCTTGTTTTCTTGCACTGTCTGTGTGATCCTTGGGAATTCCTTTGATCACCACCCTAGCTGCTTCTACTCTGCAACTTTGAGTAGAATAGTTTAGTGGTCAAAGTCCCATAAACAGCTGTGTGCTCTGGTATAGACTCCCAGGTGTTCCCTCTTGGACCAGAAGCCATGGTGCAGACTGGCAATGTGACAGAATTCGTTTTTCTAGGACTGTCTCCCAATCCAGAGATTCAGAGAGTTTGCTTTGTGCTGTTTTTGTTCTTGTACATGGCTATTGTGCTGGGAAATTCCCTCATTGTGTTGACTGTGAGCTTCAGCAAGAGTCTTGGCACACCCATGTATTTCTTCCTCAGCTACCTCTCCTTTGTGGAGATCTGTCATTCCTCCACCACTTCTCCCAAATTCATTGCAGATTTACTTGCTGAGAGGAAATCCATCTCCCTAGAGGGCTGCATCACCCAGGTGTTCTTCATCCATTTCTTTGGTGGCATTGAGATGTTTCTACTCATAATAATGGCTTATGACCGCTACTTGGCCATCTGTAAGCCTCTGCACTATGTGACCATTATGAACCACTGGATTTGTGACCTTCTGGTTGAGATGGCCTATTTGGCTGCCTTTTTACACTCAACTGCCCAAATTCTCCTCCTAGTCCACTTACCCTTCTGTGGCCCTAATGTGATTGACCATTATTTCTGTGATGTGCTCCCTCTGCTGGAGCTGGCCTGCACTGACACCTTTTTCACTGGGGTGCTTATTGTGGCTAATGGGGGGAGCCTGTCAGTGGTCAGCTTCTTAATTCTCCTGAGCTCTTACAGTGTTATCTTGTTCCACCTAAGGGGGCATAGCAAGGAAGGACGCCGAAAGGCCCTCTCCACTTGTGCTTCCCACATCACTGTAGTCATCTTGTTCTTTGGACCCTGTGTCTTCATCTA